AAAAAGACAGGGTCTGGGGGCCAGCAGGTGGCATAGTGGTTAAGGCACTGGACTCCCACATGGCTGACTGGTTTGAATCCTGGATCTGGCAGTTTGAAAATCACCCCTGGCCCAGGGGGAGATTTCTCACATCCTCTCTCTCTCTCTGTCTCCCTCTGCCTGTCTCTCTCTGGCAAGGGCCTGTGCCCTATGGTCAAAATAATAATAATAATAAATAAAGAGACAAGGTCTGGCTGTGCTTTGCTCTCTCTAAAAAAAATTGATAAATATTCTTCTCTCTGGTCAAATTAAAATAAATAAATAAAGTTAAATCAGATAGTTCTTTAAAAAAAAAAAACGTGTATATACAAGTCTCATTGCATCATCAGTCGTTAGCACAAATATCCATGTATATGAAGGTAGAATGACTCACACCAGCACCTCAATATATTTGGAAAGGGAATGTTCTACAGAAAATCTGTTGTGAACTTCCATAAGCACTAATATTTAATAACTGTTGAGGGGACTTATTTTAATTAAACATTTTGTTGAATAAAGGTCATTCCATCCAGATGGTATTTCTGTTTCTCAGAGGACTCTGGAGCAGGCTTGCCCACGAATCCATCTCAGAATGTGCCTATCTGGGAGCTCATTGCTCTCATTCTCTGGAGACTGTTCAGGGGCTCGGCCAGGCTCTCAAGACCATGAGTGCCTGCAGACCCCACCCCCGATTGGGCTTGGAGTGGTCTGATGGCTTGGGTCAGGCCAACCTGACCCAGCCCAGCCCTGAGCCCCTGCGCCCAGCTTATCACTTCTTCACTTCCCACAGACTCATATTTCCAAGTTTGGGAGTCCCTGACTCCAAGGACACAATCTTGGTAGTCCTTCTGAAAGGAGACTAAGTAAGGTCATAGAGAAAATGTGCCCTCGACTATGGCAGGGTTAATCCTCAAGCAAATGCTCTCAGCCAAAACATTTGAATGAAAGACATATTCTGTGACTTGTTTTGCCAAACAATATATTAAATGCATCAACCTCAAAGGTAAATCTTCTAACCCCCTTTGTTAACTGTTAAAAGGATACGTTGTAAAGTGTCCTTTTCATTTTCCGAAGAGGAGCAGAATTTGTCAATAACTCTCTTATATAAATCCAGAAACAGCTTGTGGCTTAAAACTCACGCCGGGCGTGTGTGCGTACGTGCCCAAGATCCCGAGAGGAGAATGGAGGAGAAGGGATTGCGGCGTGACCATCCCCCCTGGGGGGTGATTTCTCGCTTTCTGTCTCTATGTCTCTCTCTGTCTGTCTGGCGAGCGCACGCGCCCTATAGTGAAAAAACCTCTCCAAAAAAAAAAAAAAAGAGTATTTCAGTTTATTTATGCAGATCAATATAGACTCAGAGAAAAGCAGTTTCCCTAAAACAGTAACTTATATTTGCTGACTCATCCAAATATCCTCTCTCTCTCTCTCTCTCTCTCTCTCTCTCTCTGCTCTCCCTCTCTTGTTACTTCTTTGAAGGCAGCAGAAAGGCTGAACTGTTCCCTGTTCGTGCACCCCTGGGACATGCAGATGGATGGACGGATGGCCAAATACTGGCTCCCTTGGCTTGTAGGTTGGTGTCAGCTTCAGGTCCCAAAAAGAGGACCAACTCTAGGGTTTTTGCAATAATCAGTGGACCCTATTATGTCAAAGAGACAAAATATAAATAATTAACAGAATCGTGAGTAATAACAACTATCATTTATTGATAACTATCATTTATCTTGTTCAGATCACCTCTGTATATATTACCTCATTTAATTTTAATCAAATCTATTGAAGTTATAAATAAATTACATCATAAATAAATTTTATATTTCATCTAAGATGTTGATGTTATAATGACCATTTTATAGATGGAGAAACCAAGTCCCAGAGTAGTAAGTTGTCTAAGTCACACAGTTATAAGTGAAAATGGTATTTACATAGACCTGTCTTACTCCAAAGCCACCTTGCTATACCAACTACCAAAGAGGCTCAATAAAAGGAACCAGGCCTGTCTAGGGGTTTTTTGTAGAAGCTGATGACAGCTTCAGCTCTTACAAATGAGAACACTGGAATTACAAGGAGAAGGTCAGCTTCTACCACCCAAGGATCTGAAGCCTTAGACTGTAGATGACTCAGACTTTCAGTTTTCCCGTTACCTGCTACTGTCTTCTGCTCTTTGCCTCCTACACTAGCGATTCATGTGGGTAAGGTGAGAGGATAGAGGAAAAACTTCCATTTGGTCTATCTACTCTCTTTGACAGTCCTTCTAAGGAGACAAGATGGAGAACAAATACCATATTCTGGAGCTACAAGTGAAAAGTGCAACTCATTCCTACACTCATTGAAAAGTGGTACCCAGATGGAAGATGTCCAGCCTTTCTTTTGAGGCGCAATTATCCATCCTTTCCCTTACCTAACTAGTACAATTAGTAATGATGAAGTCAGCAAAACAACAATCACCATGAAGAACTAAATGAAGTACTATATTGGAAGCAAAAAAAAAAAAAACTGAATTTCAATTCCAGCTTAGTCTCTGCCTTATTGCAAAACCTGTAGCACGTCCCCTCACCTCCTTAGGGCCCCATTTCTACTCTGTAAAATGAGAGCTCATTGGATGCCTCCAAAGGTCTCTCTCTGCTCTGACATTTTGTGCTCTCATGATTGCTGTGAAAGACCAAAATACTTAGTAAGGCAACTTCCTACCCAAATGCCTCCAAACTTGACGAATAATTAGTAGGAAGATATAAGAGGACTACCATCTTCCTACGTCAAAGATAATCTGATTCACAAAACTTTGAATCTGATTTGCAAAACTTTTTAAATCCAGTCGACAAAACCTGATAAGTCCCATAAATGTATGTGCACCTCCCCCCACGTGAAAAACAGAGCAGAGCATCTGTGCAGTCCTTTCATTATCCGTGTGTGTAACACATGTGGAGTCGGTCCTCTCCAGCATGCCAGGCCCTGTGCCAGGCACTGAACATAGAGGGATGAAAGAAATCTCTGCCTTCAAGGAGATTATACTCTGGCCAGAGGAAAAGGGGTAAATAAGTACACAGCGTACAAGCACACTGGCTAATTTCAGAATTTTATTCTGGATCAAAGGCAGTCACCAATGGATTGGGTGATTCCCAACAGGGAAGAGTCAGGATCTAATTCACATTGTAGATTGAACTTTGGCTTCTGTATGGAGATCGGATTTTAGAGTTATAGTTCAAGGAATTCCAAGAAAGCAGAATCAAACGACTAGGAAGAAATGATGCTATCCAACTCCCAACCTTCAGGAAGCTCTGCCCACAAACCTCTCCTAAAAAGATACAAATCATGTTTCCAGAATTCCCAGGAGGACAAAGCCAGGGGCATCTCTGCCCGTGCAGCAGCAATGGGCCTGGGAAAAGTGAGCATCGGAGAAGCCCTGCTCAACAGCCTAGAGAGTCAGCCTTTCCCGAAAGGTGTAGGCACAGCCATGGGGCAGTCAGAGGTTTCTGAGTCAGGGTCTGAAAACCAGGCATCTGGCAATGGAACCAGACTGCCTCTTTGGTGAAGGCATCAGACATGAACTAGCTGCTTCTAGGCTCCCAAAGCACTTTAAAAAATCATTTTAATCCAGGTATTTTCAACCTCAGCTCCAAGAGACAGCAAATATTTGGCAAGAATAATGCTAATATTTTATATTTAGCGAGTGCTTGCTGAGTTCCAGGTGACGTCTGCTAAATTCTCAAAACAATCCGCTGGCAGGAACAAGTGGCAAATATGAAACTTCAAATGGTTCTCCTTGCCAAAATATGGCCCATATACAGCCAAAACACGTTGGGGCACAGGCCCCCCACGTTCCCTGGCACTGACAGTTCCCCAGCCATTAGCATCATTCAGTTTCTTCTTGCTCAAGGTGACAAGCCCTAAACCTTA